CTTATTATTATGTTGACCTCACCCTTTAAAAACACCATAAACATCACATATTCCAGTGCCCCTCCTTTCATCTGCAATTTATTCCAAAGCAACAAAGGTGAAAGCCTTAGTACTCATGGTGCTACTGCCAGTCAGGAATTTTCAGCCTCCTACCACCACTAGTACTGGAATCCTCATTGCTCCCAGACAGCTGAGATACCCAGTTCTAAAATACCATCATTGTAGTCTACTATCTAAATTCTTACTATCAATGATCTTACCCTGAGGTTCCCAGAAGATAAAGCTTAAGTCAGAGATATTTATATCACTACCTTTTAAGAAAGTGCATTCGCAGGGTATAGGAGTGAGGAAATAAAGAGAGTGAGAGAAGCAGGGAAAGCAAATACAAGGATAGGTTACCATACTGACTACTGCTTAGTACGTAGTATTGAAGGAGGAATAGTAAAATGGCTGCACTTAGGCTAACAGAGTCTTACCTTTATGCTTGCCCCTAAAATGGTCAACTAACCTGACTAACCATTTGCTACTCACAGCTCCAGGCCCACTATTAAAACTAAAGCTATTGATCTTACTGTTTCTACTTTATTCTGGTAATCAAAAGTTACAATCGTGCTTGGCTTCTGAGTTGTTCTCCAGGAAGAAGGTCACAGAACCGTAACCCTACAAAATAGACCAAATTATCAAAAAGAACCACACCACAGGCATTTGTGAGATGAAAGGATTGAAGTGACAATTACTAGCCTCTATAATATTGGTCATCTGAAAACACCATCACGCCACTCTGAACCTTATGACAAGAAAATGATTTTGCTGATTGTTATCTATGTTTTATTGTTTGAGCTATGACTATATAATCGGCCTATCCCATTCCCAAGGTGGATTCACTGTTCTGAAGGCCTGCTGTGGGTCCCCTTTGCCTGGCAAAGTAATAAAGCTGTCTCTTTTCTTCTAAGCTCTAAGACCCTGTCTCTGATTTACTTGGCTCATCAGGGATGGGGGACAGTCTTTCGGCAACAGTATGACTGCTTGCTTATCCGTGTGGAACCATCTTTCAAGAGGCCATGAAAATGAGACCAAAACCAGACAAAGACACTACCAAAAAAGAAAATTACAGGCCAATATCATTGATGAACACAGATGCAAAAATCCTCAGCAAAATATTAGGAAATCGAATCCAACAACACATAAAAATATTGTACACTATGATCAAGTTGGATTCATCCCAGAGACACAAGGATAGTTTAACATATGCAAATCAATCAATGTGATACACTACATCAACAAAAGAAAGGACAAAAATCACATGATCATCTCAATAGATGCAGAAAAAGCATTTGATAAAATTCAACCTCCCTGTATTCTTAAAGTGAAAAGCAGATCAATATACATAGTTTTCAGAATAATTTCCAGCTTTTAGCCAGCTTGACTGTAATCAGCTGGAATCTTACTCTATTGCCTGGTTCTCTGTCTTCCAGGATAAGAATTTATTTCTGGAGTATTCTGGCTGTGTTTACTTAATTTTTTTTTCTCTTGAAGTAATATATGAAAATCTCATATCTCTCAAGCATTGCTTACAAGCACTATCCTTGCCTATAGTTGACACCACAGGGCAAGTTTCCATGCAACACTTCTCCCCCTAACCTCTCTTTTTTCCTCAGCTTTACTGAGGTATAAGTGAAAAATAAAAATTGTGTATATTTAAGTTATACATATACATTGCTGTTTTGATACACATATACATTGTAAAATAATCACCACAATCAAGCTAATTAACATAGATATCATCTCATATACTTACTATTTTTTTAATTCAAATTTTTTATGTGGTAAGAACGCTTATGATTTACTCTCTTAGCAAATTTCTCCCACGTTCACTTCCGGGTGACAGAAGACTTTCTTTCGTCCTTTCTGCCTACTAACCTCCTCAGCACATTCCCTACTCCAGCCCCTTTTTATTCATATTGCTTTACTGGGAACTGAATTTTCTGAGGGTTTGAGGGCTGTAGGTATTTGGAGGATAGTAAAGTCTATGGCGGCAACCAGAAGTAAGTTTATTTCAACAAATAGATGGCTGTTCAAATTTGTGGTTGGCAAAATCCTTGCATCTTTACTGGGTGTAAACTGCAGTCTCGCTCAGCCTTCCTCCTCTTGGGTATTGCTTACATTTGAGGGCCAAAGTATGCCAAGGCCTCCAACTATTTCTCAGCTTAGCCAGTGTATGTGCAGTTACTGGAAACTTCTCCCAGTCTTTGAGACAAACTGTTTCCCTTCTTTTCAAGATTGTTTTGGCTTAGAAACTTTTCACATTCTGTCAATGGGAGAAAATGGGAGATTATGAGAGGTTACTTTAGGGATGGCTTATGTAGTGTTTAAAGTGACCATTTTTAGTCTCAGAGCACATTGCATCTGTGTCAATAATGACTTTGACTAAGGAAATGTAATTCTAGGGCTTAAGTTACTAACCAGTGAAATGGTTATGTTAGTTTATTCCCCCAACTTAAAGATCTCTGGATATTAATTTGTGATATTATGAATTGTAATAAGAAATATATATTTGCCCTTCATCTCAGGTTCCTAGCTCACAGATCCCCAAATCCTTGGGACTTCTTGAGCTATAAGACCAATGGGAACATCTTTTGTTATAATATTTGGTCTCTAGTCCTAAGTTCCTGAAACCAATAAAGGTAAAATGGATGTGTTGTTATTAATAACAAGCCCCTTTCCACCACAACTGGGTTATGTTAATGAGATAACTTTTGGAAAGCAACTAAGCATAAGGGCTGGTTGCCAGGGGAGCCAACACGAATAGAGGGTTGGAATATTCACTCTCACTTCCATTCCCTCAACGTCCCCCACCCACAGCCTTTGGGAGAGAGGGGAGAGGGCCTAGAGGCTGAATCAATCCCCAAAGGCAAATGATTTAATCAACCATCTGAATGTAATGAAACCTCCATAAAACCCCTAAAGGACAGGGTTCAGACAGCTTCCAGGTTGGTGAATGCTGGAAATGCAGGTAGAGTGGAATATTCAGAGAAGGAATTGAAGCTCTGTGCCCTTTCCCCGTCCCCTGTGTTATGCATCTTTTCCATCTGGCTGTTCTAGTGTTACATCTTTTATAATAAACTGGTAACCTAGTAAGTAAACTAGTTTCCTGAGTTCTGTGAGCTGCTCTATCAAATTAATCAAATCTAATGAGGGGGGTCATGGGAACTTACAATTTATAGCCACTTGGTAGAAGTACATACAAGTAACAATCCGGACTTGTGATTGGCATCTGAAGTAGGGGTGGGAAGCCTTATGGAACTGAGCCCTTAACCTGTGGAATCTGATGCTATCTCTGGGTAAATAGCACGAGGATTGAGTTGAATTGTAGAACAGCCAGCTGATGTGCAAGCATTGCTTGTTGGTATGGACAATCCTCCTACCCACATTGGAATTGGATGCAGAATCCTTTATAATTGTTCTCAATGCTCCAAGTAGCTAATAGTCAGAACAGAAGTCCTGGAGTCAGAAAAAAGACATAAGTTGGTTCTATAAAGAAATAGCTCTTTGATAGGATATTTTACTATCAGATAAAGTATATGGAAGGAAGTTCATAGCAATAAATACTTACATTAAGAAACAAGAAAAATTTCAAATAAACAACCTAACTTTACACCACAAGGAACTAGGAAAACTAGACCCAAAGTTAGTAGAAGGAAGGAAATAACAAATATTAGAGCAGAAATAAATGAAATAGAGACTAAAAATACAATAGAAAAGATCAATAAAACTAGAAGCTGTTTTTTTTTAAAGATAAACAAAATAGATATCCCAAGAAAAAAACAGAGAGAACTCAAATAATTAAAATCAGAAATGAAAGAGGAGATACTACCACTGATACCATACGGGATCATAAAACACTACTATGAAAAATTAATGCCAACAGGAGAGTCTATGAGATATGGCTAAATTCCTGGAAATACTACAAACTACCAAGACTAAATCATGAAGAAATAGAAAACCTGAACAAACTGATTTTTAAGGAGATTGAATTAGTAATCAACAACTTCCCAACAACAAAAGTCCAGGACTAGATGGATTCCTGTTCAATCCTACCAAACATTCAAAGAAATAATACCAATCCTTCTCAAACTCTTCCAAAAAAAATCAAAGAGGAGGGAACACTCTCAGACTCATCTTGTGAGGCCAGCATTACCCCGATACCAAAACTAGACAAGGACACCACAAGAAAAGTATAGGCTAAAATCCTCAAGAAAGTATTAGCCAACTGAATTCAACAATACATTAAAAGGATCATGCACCATGATCAAGTGAGATTTATTCCAAGGTAGCAAAAATGGTTCAACATTCACAAATCAATCAAAGTGATATGCTATATTAACAAAATGGAGAGTTAAAATCATATGATCATCTCAATAGATGCAGAAAAAGCATGTGACAAAATTCAACATCCTTTTATGACAAACATTCTTAAGAAAGGGGTACACAAATGAAGTAAATGGGTCAAAGTTCACACACACCAAACCTCCAATGATGACAAGTTCAAGATAAACAAATAATCACTTTTAATGGGATTTTTAGGATCTATTCCCTAAGGAAGTGAATATTGAATGGAGAGTTTTAAAGAACAAGTTGGAGCTAACTAGCGTTGAGTGCCCCAGAAAATCATGGTTCCTTCAGGTTCCTTGAATATATTTGCATACACACACACACAATCATACTCACACTGAGACAATAACAAGGTTCCTTGGCATTATTCACAACATTATTTGAATGATCAAATGTATTTAATAGTTTGATAACTAAAAGACTGTGAAAGATCAATTTCAAAATCACAATGAATTTAAAAACTATTAATTTTTCTGAGATTTGATTGTGTTAGATATTTGTGGATCCCTGAGATTTATCCTTTAAAATGGATACTTTCACCAGTTTAATGGATATTGTCTGAATTGTGATGCACTTAATTGCATGAAATAGAAGCACATCTCTGTAGCTTAACCTTGTAATATCATTTTATTTCCCACACATAACAAGAAGTCTGAAGGAAGGGAGTCTGGGCCCCTTGTATCATTTTGCTCCATCATCCTCACAGGGAAGCTTTTATCTTCATGTTTGTGCAATCATGGAGACAAGACGGCCTCCCTCTCTTCAGTTGTGCTGTAGGCTGGACAGAGAAAAAAGGACAAAAAAAGTGTCTGTATTAGAAAAACAAAAATATTCCCAGAAATCTCTAGCAGAAACATGCAAGTATCTTATTACTTACACTTTTGTTACATTGCAACCCTTGGATGCAACAGAGCCTAAGAAGGTGAGTATTATACCTGGGAACATTGCCAATTTGAACAAAGAGGGGTTCTTTTTATCAGTAAGGAGAAAGTAAAGAACAGCTCTTAGGTAGGAAATTAAGATGGTCTAAACGTCATTGAATTCAGAATGCTATATAATCAAAACTAGTATTTTTAAGCAGTCTAAATTTTCAAAGTAATACTGAATTTCAATAACTATTCACTTTTGCTATGTTTGAGGGTTTTACTTTTTCATCAATAGCCACTGTTAATAATGAAATAATATAAAGAAATATTTTATTTACTTTATTCCCTGTATTATACTAGTGAGAATGAGGTCATTATAGGCTATGAATAGTTTTTGCACACTAGAATATTCTTTTTTTATTTATCTTACTTAAATGGTTGCTTTAGGGTCCATGTTATAACCAACACCAACCTCCTTTGGACGGTATCTAAAATTTAAATAATAGGACCTAAGTCCAAATTATATGGATTTTTCTGAGTTAAATACCAGTATCTGTTATAAATAACAATTTTAATGCCCACATATTGATAGTAGAATATTAAGTCCTAAATGGATTCTTTAAGCTAAGTGTGGAACATTTATTCAAGAAACTTTTTGGGGTTTTGTATATCTCTGCTAGCCTTAATAATCTAAAACTTGGTGTTTGATAGATTAGTTTTTAAGGTATTAAAATTGTTACCTCTTAAGGAACATTTTCCACACTTTTAAAACTATTTCTTAATTATATTCTATCTCCCATTAAAATGTAAATCTTAGGTTCTTGCATTCCTCAAAACCAATCTTTAATGTTGATAATCAAGGAAGATTTTTCAGTGACATTTAGGTGGTGGGGGAGAAGAAGAGTCCAAGATAGGACATGTGTCTTAATATTCTATTTAAAAGATACTTAGAAGCAAACATAGTACATTTTTCTAAATGCAAATCTAATACTAATTCATATCGAATGTAATACATATTACAGATTTACATCTAATTTCAAATCCTCTGTGAATTCAATTAGAGTTAATTCTATCTTGTCTTATACATCTTATTGAATACACTTTTCAAATCTAATTTTGATCCTATTGATTTAAGATGATTTGTTTTATAAACATTCATGCATAAGTATGATATACTGTGTCAATTATATCACATGACACATGGAGTTCAGATAAAATATCATTTTCTCCAATTATAAAGGAAAACATATCCTTATTTGCCTATAGCTAAAGCATTTAGGAAGAAAGACTATATAAAAGCATAATTGAGAGAATGACCAAATAAGAATTTTTAAAAAACAAGAAAACTGTAAGAGACAAGGTGCTCCCTATGACATATATGCATATATAGATGAATGTATATTGTTTGATTTATGATATATGGATATATATGATGATATTCTGAAGGAAAAGAATTGGCAAAATGAAATAATTAAGTAACTTTGTTTTCTCTCAAAATGTCCCTGGATGTTTAAGGCAATTATTTATTTACTTATAAGTTAATTCTTCTCCATCCCCTGAATAAAACTTTGGTTGGTACCCCACAGCAATCTTAAATAATAAAAATCTTCCTGGTACTTTGGTTACTTAAACTATTTCAGTTTAAAAACTTACAGGCACAGCTAGAGTAATAATAAAAACTCTAAGCTTCATTCAATATTAAAGCTTCTACACTCACCTAATCAGCCATGCAAGCGAAGGCAGCCTGTAGAATACAGTATGGCTTGGATAGATACTCCTCTATTTTCTGAACTTGTCTTTCTTCCTCTCTTTAATTGCTAATTAGCACTGTTTCTGACCACATCAGGTTTCAGGATGGTGGAGGGAGGAGACGTTAGGGCACTGGAAAGCTCCTGCATGCTTGTATTTTTGTGAGCTGCCATCATTGATTGCTCTCTGGTTTGACAGGTGACAAAGCTGACTCGGTCTTTTTCCCTTGCAGGGTGTTTCATTTCCTTGCAGGGTTCTTCAGAGTATTTACTCCTTTCCCCATTCATTAGTAGACATCTCTCAACTATACTTCACTGTGATTTGGGTCTCAGCAGTCCATCTCTTCACAGACCCTCTCTGTTGGTATCCTGTGGTCTCTTAGGCAGCCCTTCTGGATAAAATCCATTTAAGATGACTGTGGGCCAGCTTTTACCCACATATGTGTGGTCCACACCTTCTCTATGCATCTTTGGTTCATTTTCAGTTATAATTTAACTTATTTTTCAAAACTAAGCTCTCTATGTTGCCACAACTGGTATTTTTCAGATGTATACAGATGTGTTTTAACAAATAACACCAAAATTAAGTTCAAAGTATAACTGTCATAGTTATTTTGCAGTCATGAATATAGAACAACAAAAAAAAACTATTCTATGTGGTGAACACATTTATTGATTATTTAAATCATTGAGAATGGGTAAGACAGAGCAACATCCTTTTTTTACAGACAAAAAGGAAAATAATCAATTTAGCAAAACTGTTACTGGCCAGGGGTAGTGTGATTTATGTGATGCATTTTATGCGAAGCTTTATGTAATTCACTCAAAAGAGAATGGGATCTAAGGTGGGTTTGTGGGTTTGAGTTCTATTTTGATAATGTATTAGTTACAAGTTTCAAGAAGTTGACCAAGTTTAATAAGATATGTAATCCAGTTTCTTCTACTATAAAATGGGGATAAAACAGTTCTAGTAATTGTATTGTTTGATGATTAAACAAATGCAAAACATGTGGTTTATAGTACATAGTAACTCCTTAATAACTGTTAGTTAATTTTGCCTTCTAACACTGGTCAAATTGTTTTTTTTTTTGTTGTTGTTATAGCTGTGGCTTCTTCATGTATTTATGTTATTTTTTATGACTTCTTAAGTTAAAAATAACATAAGTATTATATGAAAACACACATTTTTTTACATTATTTTCAGGTCATTAAATTACTAAATGCAATAATTAGCAAGTGTATATTAAAATGAGAATCTTTGTTTTATTATGCTACATAAAACAAACTTTATCAGACTATAATTAATTTTTCTAGAAAAGCAAATACATCAGTAAAAATAAGCTCCTACCTCTAATGATTTAATCTTTGGAATTAGTAAGCCAAATAGAGAAGCTCTGGTTTTCAGTGTAATAGGAGAGCCAGATTATTAGAGAAAAGTCCTCCATGATGTGCTGGGAGAAAACTCTATAAGAATTTGGATTCGCAGTTCAGGATTTTATGATGCAAATTCTGATTACTTAGATGTTTACAGCTCCTCCTCAACTTCTAAGAAGTTATTCATGTTAGTAGCCAAATAATAGTCAAGTTGTTGCTAAGTGCAACGGTTAGCATTGCATCTATAGCTATAGTAGTTATCCAAGAGAAGACACTAGTATCATTCCCATGTAGTTAGTGTCATTACTTCCTTGTTTGTTTATACACCTCTCACAAATATGTAGCCATTTAAAGATTCTGATTGTAATGAATGCTCAACATCTTTTCTCCATGTAGTTAAAAGTACTGGGAAGGACTAGGGCAAGCTTTTGTCCCCTGATCTTATTTTTCTATTCCACAGAGATCCAAAATAACACTGCAAGGGTCTACCACATAAATTCTACATCACAGTTCTAGATACTGTCTCCCCCCAATAGCTAAGATTCTAAGATGCATTATTTTTAGCTATTAATGAAATCTACTTGCGTGTACTTTGTTCAAGATCAATGTTATTATTTTCTGGACCTTTTCTATGTAGATAACAAATATTTTCCTTCAAAAATGTTAATGTTCTGTTCATAATAAGCTGATGATTTGAGTTTTTTTCTTGTATATTTAATATATTTCATATAAATATATTTGAAATATCTCTATATACATTTCCTAGGTCTTTCCATTGAAAGAGCTTAGAAGAAATGGCCTACCAATGACAACAAACAAGACAAATCACTATATCCTCATTTTTTAAATACTGTTCTTCACTTAAAAAAAAATAGAGTTCATTGGAGGGGGGAGATTTGAAACATTTTGTCATATCAGGGAGCAAGAAAGTGTTCAAATAACCAGGGGGACGCATTAAAAGGCTAACTGAACCATCTTGAAGGAGCTCCTATGGGCCAATTCTGGGAAAATTTGAGCATGAAAATAAATAATATCAGTATTCTAATCCATTAAATAAGAATCTAGTTCATACTGACACAAACTTTAAAAATAAATAAATAAAGGGACTGATACTAAGGGCTTACAGTTTTATTCATTTGCTTAGTTCATTTAGTAAATGTGTTATTGTGTGACTGTATCACCAATAGCTTCAAGGAGAACCTGCAGGTGAAAAGCCTCTTCATGACGACGGATAAAGCCTGGAACAAATGCCAGTCACTTAGACACTTATCTCCTTAGACACTGAGCAAGTACCAATGCATTGGAAACTTTCTGGGGAAAATAATGCTCCAAATATGTATTTCCAATTTTGCATGGTTACGTTAATGTCGTTTTTCTGTCATCTCTTAAAGTATGATGCTGTAATTGTTCCCTGACAGAAACTACCTTTGACTTGGCCTGTCAAATGGTCTGCATCCTCCTTCTATTTCTTGCTACATCCCCCATAATTTCTCCCTCCCAGCTTGTCATCCAGCTACTTGACTTCTGCTAGGCTTTTAGGAATTGAAAAAGCCCTCAGGTTACAAAAAAGAACATTGAGTTCTTGTAAATAAAATGTAATGAATGCCTCAAACATAACTCTACCACTCTAACTTACAAAGAGAAACAAACAAACCACATAAAACACACTATTAAATCATGATTTTCATTAAGTAGTACCTGGTTCTCAATGCTAGCATATTTAAAAGGCTGAAAGTCTACTAAAGTGTGCTAAGTGGAAAAACTGAAAACTGTGTGTCAAAAATTATTCAATCTTTTCACAATATTTCCATGAGCACAGTTTGAATATGAAGGATAATACTGAACATTTTACTGTTTTGAAATGACATAATGATAAATGATCTAGTGACTATAGACTATGGCTGTAGTGTAGAGTTAATTTATGGCTATTAACTAGAATAAATATGTCATGGAAACTGTTCTGAAGAGCAATGTTACTTTAGTTAAATCATAACAGCAAAAAGATATCTCATGCATTCACTCACTGAACAATGATTTGAGTATCTATTAAATACTACTAGTACTATGTTCTATGTAGTACTACTACTATGCTGGACCATAGGTACCCAGATATGAATTAATAATGTCTCTGTCCTAAAGAAACTTACTGGTGATAAAAGCAGACATGTAAATAAGTAATTACAAAGCAGTGTCTCAAGTGCATAAATCAATAGAAGCACAAAGGCTGAGCAATTCTATGGATGGTGGGCAGCAAATAGTGAGAAGCTTCCTCAAAAGAATGCTTGAAGTGGATTTTAAGAGATGAGTCACAGTTTATCTGGCAAGACTGAATAAATGAGAGGCTATTAAGCAAAAGAAACAACTATCAAACAAAGTCACAGAGGTACAGAATAGCCTGGAACATGGTGAGAAGGGGTAAGAAAAGAATTAAATTTTAAGCAAGGTTCAACTTGTAGAAGGCCTTAGCGACTAACCTACGTGGTAGCATAATTGAATGCATAAAATAATGAAAGTGAAAATTACCTAGTCTCCATCCTGTCCAGTTCTTTACCACCTTGGGACCTAGATACTTCCTTTTACCCTGCCTGAAAAGTCCCTCCCTCAGATTTTCACACAACTGGATGTTGTACCTCATTCAAATTTTGGCTTTAAAAATCCTAGGGAAAAACCACCAAACTCAATTAAACCATGCCAAACTCACCTAATAACCTTCTATTTTCTTTGTTTTTAAATCAATACAGAAAGGATACACAGACTAAATACTAATTTTACAACTTTATGTGACATACCTCTTTGATTTCTAGTCTCTTTATTCTTGCAAACTAGACTGAGAAAATTGTGGAAATTGCTAGGCAACATCTGGTGCAGTACTGACCCTAGGGATTTGCTAGTTGGCAATCTTCCCTTCATCCTGTAGTGAACATATTTTGTTCACTAGTAGCCGTTATGAATATGACTAAAGCAGAAGAAACCCTTTCAGAGATATCTGCATTTTATATCTCAAAAGGATAAATCTCTAATGCAAAATTATCAGGCAATATGACAAAACACAGTGAAGCATTTTGGAGGGAAGCAGGAAAGATGTTCTAGTCCTTTAAATCATACCTCACATGCAAATCTTCCTATCCTTAAGGAGACCTACCTCTCTCCAGAGAAATCTCCATTAGTACTGAGAAAACTTAAACTTTTTTTGTTCAGCTTCCTGCTAAAGTGTGAGCTTCAAGGAATGTTTATACATAAACTGACAACCTTTAAAATATTTTGGGGGCCTAAAGAGAAAAATGTAGTATGATTGTTCTTATGGTCTGTAAAATGTTTGAATGAATCCCTGAACTATTGTAGTCACATAATCAAATAGACCAAGTACATAAAGCCCCTTGCTTCTTCAACTGTGATTTAGAAAAACCCTAAAACACCAATTATTACTAAATGAAGGAAATATTCCCTTATCTTCTATCAAGATACAGTTGAAAATAGAAAGACATATTTAAATACAGCCTAAAGTAGAAAGCATAACTGCATTGCAATAAAAATATGTTCTCAAAATCTTCTGGTTTCATTAAAATGACAGTCACTATGCTATAAAATATTGTAATATATGCAAATTATTTAATTGAGAATCAAAAAACTAGATAGAATTCATTTAAAATCTAGATCATATATAATTAGTAACTGACCAATATCACAATCAGTATTAATTGTAGGTAAAATACTTGTAATTGTCCTTAAATAACATGGGCCATAATTTATCACACATTTATGTTAAATTTTGAATTGCATCATATTTACTTATTCATAGTTCATTTTTATTAACACAAAGTACACTGTAACTTAAACAGATATTGATGAAATTTGCATTGTAAATTTACAATATTAAAATTGTGGTAGTAGTTCTCAAATATCGGACAGTAAATTATTCAAGAGGCTTGGAAGATATGTTGAAAAAGGAACAGGAGTGATTCTAAAAAATTGATTGGAAGCAACAATGGGAGCAGTTGATCAGAAGAGCACATGAAATATTATGAATGCTCATGAGAGGGAAGTAATAGGCCTATTATGCACATCCCTGATCAAGCCAGATGTGAAGAATGTGTTAAAAGAGCATTCGCAAACTGAAGCATTGCTTGAAGATACAAAACAGAATGATGAAGGCGTGGTCCTTGAGTATTCATTGCTGATGTATAAAAGGTGTTGATGGCATTAGTGCTTAATGATTAAGCTAACATGAATCCAGAACGAACAAGTCATGCTTTATAAAGGAAAATGTGCACTTTTTGATTTGACTCGTTCTTTATGAAGCTAAGGCAGCTTCATGTTATCCCTTCTTTCTCTTGATATCCTATCTTTCATGATCTATAGTTGGTGGAGTTCCATCTTTTCTCCTCTTTGAAAAATCGTGATAGCTTTGCTTTTCACCCATCTTCTATTGACTCTTCTAATGTCCACTTTTCTTCAGAGATTACAGAGATTATCCTGCCAATCTCTTCTTCAGAGATTAGTTTGCCAATCTCTTGATTCTTGTATTGCCCTAGGACCTAACTGAAAGAAGTTGGAAGATTAAAATCATCTATAGTAAGTAAAAAATGATTTCCAATTATCTCAAGACCCATCTTAAGCTACAATTTTCTCATAAAGAAATTTACCCTCCCTTTTTCACATTTAAAATTTTCTCCTTGATAGCTAAGATAGGAGACAATTGTCTTAAAACTTTAACATCTTCCCAGATGGCAAATTTCTTGCTGTCCTTGGTGTTTTAAAATACATTCTTAACTTTTGGGTTGACTTTACTAGCACCAGTTGATTCTGTGCTTAATATAATAGATACTTTGACTCTTTCATATTCCTTGTAGTTATGTGTCTCCTTTTTTTCCCTACTATTGTATTTTCCTTCACTCACTCAAATTCTGTGAGGAATATAATGTAAGTCATGCTCTCAAAGAAGTTATAGCCCAGAAGTGAGGCTGATGTATATCTAGAATTTTACAATACAAGAAAGATGTAATCGTGTGAAAAGGATCAGGCAGCATCTCATGGGAGTTCTGTGGATAAGATTACTTTCAGCTGATCATATGTAAATAAGAAAACTTTCTGTAAGAGGTTTATTTAAGCTGGACTTTTAAAGAGTCCCCTACACAAGCAAATAGTTGGGCTTCAATGAATCTATAAATTACATTAAATGATATATACATATATGGAAGATATATGAACATGTGCATTTCTGGGGGCAGGGAGAAGGGTGGGATAAGAATATTCATCATATTCTGAAAGACATCTCTGACACTCAAAATGGTTAAAAGCAAACCACATCACATAGAATAGTGTTTGGAGAGGTTTGCAAAATTATTAAAATTATGATTAGAATTACATTCTCATTGCCTCCAAATGTTCATCTGCATTTTTGCCTCTCAATAGTCTGGCTGAGGAAGCATGATGAACTTTTCTCTGAATTTTCTGAAATATGTTTTTCCAAAGCCTAGAAATCACATCTGACTGTTCCTCACTATTTCAAGAAAGAATATGTTCACTTTATTTCCATAACTTTCATTATACCTACGAGATTTTTCACTATTGACAAAAATTAAGCCCATGATAGTACTGTCCTTTTGTTGCTTCTTTTACTTTATTGGAATGGAAACTACTGTCATGTTAAATCAACAACAAAATGATAAATATAATAGGCAGGATTAGAATATGGGCAGTAGATATATTAACAATACATGTAGTTTATTTTACATTTTAAAAAAATTTATAGCAGAAATTCATGGGAAACTAAAGGCATATACTAAGGAGATATATGGAGAAAAAAGAATAAATTAAGATGTGCATCTGGAAGGAGGAATAATAATGTGAAAAATATAAGCAGTTATAAATATAAGAGATAAATAGTGTTTCATAAGTAAGAGTTTTTGCTAAGAATGAGTGCATGAAAAAATGGTAAGATGGTTTTAAAATATTTGGAATCACAAAGTAGAAAGTGACAGCAATTGAACTACTCGCTTAAATTAAAAAAAAGGAGGGGGAGATAGATATAACTACTTTATAGCATGGAATTCAAGTACCTGAATTTCTGAAGTGTTTAAAAAAAATCTAGTAAAAAAGGCCTAAAAATATAAAATGTATGAGAATATCTTCTTGAGTTTAGTAGAATGTGAACTGATGATAAAAGATTGACAGACACCAAGTAAGTAAAAAGCAAAATAAAAAAGAAAGATAAATTCAGATATTGACCTTCAAGAAGTATGCTTGCATAAAACTTCTGCTTGCATAAGAAGGGATACATTTGCAGATCCAAATACAGTATTATTCCTGTTGTATTTTGTGCATATGTTGAATAAGGAAACAAAAGTATCAAGAGTTCTTACATTATTGTTTACAAAAAATATTGCAATGACTTTAAAGTCACAGAACAACAAAGAAAATATTTTGCTGCTTTCTTTTCTTGAGCTGGTCAGATTTCTCTCCACACATTGTGAACTCTGTAGTTAAGATAGAGCAATGATTTAAAAGGCTTTGCAGTTCTCTTTCCTCAATTTGTATATTCTGCATGGTCCATGAATTTCACACAAAGAGGTGCTTTACAAAGGACCAAAGTCACTTTGTTCAGAACTTTCTAGCAGCTAAAATGATCTCATACTCTCATTGACTGAAGCCGTCAAATTGTGCCTGTCCTCAGATCTTTTACACAGGGCCAGGTGACAAGCTGATAGTTATAACTGAAAGTAATTTCCTGAGATTCAGAGATATTGGACCATATACTCCCTCTCAATAATAAGACGAATACTAAAAAAAAAAAAAGATGGCTCTATGAAGTACAGAAGCATAATCAATTAACATTAATTCTAGACTAAAATGAAATAGTTCTGGCCCTTTGATGAAAATTTAATTGATAGAAATCTAAATGTTACAATTATCAAAATATTTGAGGTTTGGAGGTAAAGAGAATTAGCATTCTAATGTAATTTGACAAGATACCAAATGAAATATGCAGTTCTTTGCATGTATTTGGAGAAGTTTAAGACCTTATTAACTTCAAGAGCTGATTTCTCAACATTAGATCTTCACAGTCTATTTCACTGATCTTTCCTCTCCTCTCTGCTTAGTAAAAGATATTACAAATCAGAGTTCAGTGTTTTCCTCTTCTAGTGTTTTGTACTCTGCAGAATAAGGCCAAAGAGTCAAGGTTTCACAGTGTACCCACATCTGTCTCTGCAGCCCAGACCCTCTCTAGGATTTGGGCTTGTATTTTCATTCACTGTATTTAAGCTGTGCATACCCATGGAGTCACTGTGCTGAGCCCAGAAACCACCCGATGAATATTGCAAATCCTCCTGAAATATCATGTAGGCAAAGTTTGAGGAAAAAGCAGTATTTTACATCAGTATAAATTTGAACCTACTGCAGAGTAGAATCTAAAATCCACAGGACTTTTTAGATAAAAACTGAAGGCTTCAAATAAGATTATTTGATTAGGGGTGGGTGAGTGTATCATTGTTGGAGATATTTTGATAGAAAACTTTAAGAAGCTCTGCATTAGGCTAAATAAAATTCCTTCATAAATATGGATTAGCATTTCTATGTGAATACTATAGGTGGAATGAAGAGGTTTAATAGGAATGGTCATGGACAAACTATGAAGCAGATCCAGTTTATCTTCCACCATCATCATCACCACCACTACCACATCTCAGACCCTACCCAGACTCTGTCCCAAGCTCTTAAAGAATCTGGCTTCTTTTGTTAACTTCAGCCCCAAGGCTAAGTATATTCTGTCTTTTCTTCACCCATATGTGCTCTTCTGCATTCCATTCTCTTAAGATATTAGCATGAATGTAAAGAGACAATCATTTAATACTAAATGGAAAAATTCACATTAAGGTAGTAGTCAGACAATAAAACTTTATACACTATTACTTTGGATGTATCTATCATTAGGCAGAATTCTGCTGCGCATTTACATCATGCAAGGTTATAGGAATGGGCAAGGTTATAGGAATGCAAAGATGAACTGAAAAAAGTTTGTTGTGGAGTATAAACTTGAAAGTAAGGAAGTGTATGAGATGCCAAGTTTCCACAAAGGGTACATGGAAACATAAAGAAGAGTATGTGTCGT